ATTTAAGTCCTGTATATACAATCATGCTCTCATTGGTTAAATTGAAACTCCTTGCCAATGGGAACACAAGTACACATCCAGAACTTCAATTTGCCCCCTCCATTAGCTGCATTTTCTTTTTTTTACTGAATATTACATTACGATGCCCCGTCTAGTGTTATTTATAATATATGGATAGGAGCTGGTCACATGATCTGCTAAAATCTAGCAGATTTTTAATTGGCCTTCTGTAAATTTGAGAGGGGTAGGAATGTAGTAGTTTAGTTAACTTTTATTTGTGTACAAGTGTTGTTTGTTCCAACATATAATAGTAATTTAAAGCACGCATTAATCAACAACATGTCACCTTTCCTTGTTATCATTTTCATTGCTTTATTCTTTAATGTATTCTTCCATTCGTTCTTGTTGCCTGTGGATACAAAGTCGGAAAAAGGTAAATGTATGATCAAAATTTGTGTGGTTTTGTATTTTCCCAAGTGATCCTGCACTGTCAAATCACTTTAGAATCAATGCACTACAAAAGCATACATAGCTATAGGCGGAAAAGTAATATTTATTATACACTAAATATTCATGATTCCCCAGTTGAATGTTAAAACAGTTGCTCTAGATTAGAACGCCACATTATATTTACAAATATTCGGGGAGCATGCTGTCAAACCACTCTTCTGCCTCAAATATGAAATCACAAAACCACAGACTAATAGAGCAGAGACTTGGTTCTTTTGGGAAAAAAAACTTCATATATGATTTGCAAAATGATGTGACATCATTTTGACGGCTGGAAACTAGTGCTGACCTTTGACCACATATGTCACGACCACATACATGGTCTCAAATTAAAGATTCCACCTTTAGCAACTATGTTGGTTTAATACACAAAAGTTTAAGAGATGGATATGACAAATTAAAGCGAATGGGCAGAGCTTATCAATAATATCGGTTTAAAAAAAGCTAATGAAGAGCTTGATCATGGAACAAAGCAAGTGTTTGACGGGTTACTTCTTTTAGCTTCAGTTTGCATGGTCGATGAAAACTTGCTATCAAGAATAGAGGCCCAATATGATGTGTGGGCACCTGCCCGTGATCAGTATCTCTGATCTGTTCAACATCTCGCTGCTTTTGAAGGAAATACTAGACTTGTAAAATGTCTGGTGTTAGCAGGGACTGAAATCAACCTTCAGGACGGAATAGGACAAACGCCGCTCACTCTAGCACTTCACAAGTCGCACAACGCTGCAGCACATTTTCTCATTGAAATTGGATTGGTATTGCAACAAGAGTATTTTAAAAACACTGTTTGTCCACTTGATATTGTGAAGACGAAAGACAACATAACAATGACACAACACATTGAAAGAAAGTTATCTGAAGTTGAAATTATCAAGAAACATGTTTCGTCATGTTTTCACAGACTAGTAGGTGACCCAAACCAAACGATGGAAGTAGACCCCATTGAACAGGATAATGCATTTTCACAGGCCCTAAATATTAACGTTGGAGATCAAAAGAACACTGTTACTATGTAAGGATGTTCCAATTTTAAAAAATACAAAACAATGGAAACTCTGAAAATGGTCAACATTTTGATTCGACATTTCCACTAGCTTGCAGTCATCATCAGGAATGATGCTACTAAGAAATACAAAACTATATATACAAGATCAAATGAAATATATCTGTTAGTTAAAAATTATTAGTTCCTTAGAGGCTTTACATCCGTGGTTCTATGTGTCCATCCGTGGTTCTATCCATGGTTCTATGGGGTCTCCCTTGGGGCCTACCCTAGCTGATATCCTAATGACTACCTTCAAGGTATTATCACTAATATTACCACTAATATCCTCTAACAAAATCAAATTCTACTCACGGTACTTAGACGACACACTAGTACTGATTAAACCACCTGACATACCTAAAGTACTACAAAAATTCAATTCTTTTCACCCACAAATTCAATTCCACCTTGTCACCCGCATAGCGGGCTCCCATGAGATAGCATTGCACCTGAGCAGATCAGTGCGTTGTTGTTCCTTGAGCGAGACGGTCGAAATATTTGTTGAGCAAAGAAAATTATTTTAAATATTGCTGAAATATTAAATAATGACAAGTAAAACCTCTAATAAGGTGCAGGTGGATGTCCACCGTGAATCTAGCGAGACGGCCAGTTCAAGTGGCAGGAGGCGTGAACCACATAGTCTGCTTGAACAAACGGTAACAGCCGATTCACGCTCTAATGAGCAAACACAACTACAGCAAACCTTGGAGCAAGGGTTTGCTAAAATGGCAACTAGTCTAACTACGGCGATAGAAAATGCATTTAAAAATTTCTCTGACAAGTTTGATGTAGATCCTATTGAGGACGAACTTCTCACAGAACTAGAAGGAGAACTTGAAAGAAATGGCAATGCTAATGGCAGTGATGGCGAAAATGGCCGCCAAAACGACAGACACAGTCAGGAAGCATGATTGAACGAGCTAAGACTCAAAATGCTACTGAACAGGCTAAAGAGCCTAGTGTGCTTGACGGCATACGTGGAGAAATGAAAACGGCTGAAACGGTCCCCAAGGTTAACAATGACAGTGTTGTAACGAGTCGAGTCATTGACTCTGACTCGAGTCAACTTGAGTCGCTATTTTCAGCGACTCGACTCGAGTCCAATACGAAAAATGACTCGACTCGAGTCAACAGCCCCAAATGACTCGACTCGGACTCGACTTGCTGATTTTGCCGTAAATGACTCGAGTCAACTCATCTACAACTTGTACAGAGTAAATTCATCACAATTATTGTGATTGTATTGCTTGGGAAGAACAATGAGCCCTGTAAACAATGTGAACTTTGAAACTTTATCAGAAAATATATGGGATTTGCATAGAATATATTCCTGACGGGCATACCTATATTACATTTCTGTTTTTAGAAACAACGCTAGTGCCACAGTTTTTTAAAATTAAGTCTCAAAATATTTTGT